ATATTAAGAGAAAAACTAATAAAAAAAATCATGTCATGTGCTAAAATTTTTCATAATCCTTAATTTATATTTATTTACTAGCAAATCTTAAACTGTTAAGTTACATGCAAGTATAACAATTAAAACCAAACAACCATGCATAAATACTAGAAAGAAAAACAGTGTAACTGGCATTAATTATGATTGGAACGAGCAAATTCTACTGATTTTTTGGTAGATAAAATTCCGGATATGCATAGCTAAGAGGAGAAACGAAGGTTATCTTGTACTATGGGAAGAGACAAGAAACATACACAGTGCATGTCACTTTTTCTTTTATCTTTGTAACATGGGAACTAGTACTCCCATTAAATTTATATATCCTCCCTCTATGTATAAGTGACATTTATTTCCAACTACCGGAATATCAGAACTTGTAAGAATGAACCTACTTTAACTCAAGCAAGAACGTATTTCTGTCATATAGGGTTTCCAGCCAGGAACCGGCTATAAAAATCCAGCGCCTCTTGAGGCTTATACTCAGGAACAGTATGCCCAGCTCCCTGCACCAAAGGAAACAAAAATCGGAAAAGAATCAATACTTTCAAACATTGAATATCAAAGAACATTACTTCATGTCCTACAGGTGTGTTGAATCATATTATGCTATGTTTGTAATGTACGAAAAAGATTGCATGAAAATACCTTGATGGTTAAAAAGGTGAGATTGTTCTCGTACCCCTGTAAAAATCTGCAACACATAACAAAAAGAAATTCAATTTCAAGAAGGATCTTATAAATTTTCTCCAAGTTAAAGAACATTACAGCAATACTGCAATATAGAAAACGAAAATCATTGATTTTGTTAGGAAATGTACTGCTAAAAGTATGACGTCTAAGTAGTAATCTTCAGATTAATGACATGTTCCATATATAATAACGGACGAATGATAAAGAAATTAATCAAGTACCCTGCAACTTGTTCATTGGAAAACCACGGTCTCCATTCATCAACTATTTTATACCCAATTGATCTAGTCCATGCTTGACTCCCAGTGTATGGAACACACATATCATGATCCCCACTGTCAGAAAAGTCAGATGTACACCAGTTAGGAGAGAACATGATTAAAGTAAAAGATTAATAATAAAATCACAGTGCAAGAGCGTATGTCATAAAGTTAGGGAAGAGGATATGCAAATTAAAAAAAAAAAAAAAAAAAAGAGGGGAAACAAGAAAGGACTTTCCTATTAATGGCAGATGAACTGATGAAGTCAGGGCTTAGGAAGATGATGAAGTCAAAAGACAATGGAGTCACAGAGAAAATTAGGGGAAGAGGTAGTCAGTAGGCACAAAGCTTCCTGTTTTTGCCCTAATTGGAGTGTAAATTCCAATAGAAGCCATGAATCCTTCTATATTTTTCTTTATTCTTAGTGGTTTTTTTGTCATTTTGTGTCCTTTTAAAGAAGCGATTGCTTCAACATTAAAGCGCTTTTATCACTTCACTTCGCTTCAGTCGCTTTGGGACTGCTTCTTTCAAGTAAAGCGCTTCAGATATTTTCAAGCGATAGTGCCTTTGATCACTTTGCTTCATTGCTTTAAGCAGTGAAGTGACTGCTTTTGACAACACTGACCTGATATGGATTGTGTGTTAACATGTCCACCAATGTTCTGGCAACCCAAGCAATAGTCAATATTCAAAATAGGGTACCTGGTTTCTCTTATTAGTGTTCATAGTGCAGAAGGAGGCAACAATGCCTGCCACCTAATTTCCACATTTTCCTTGATGTCAAAATTTTAGAAATGTTTCAGAATAGGCAGCATGTTAGTATAACATTCATTCCCAAAAAGAATCAGAAATCTAGTCCGCTCTAAGATAGAATGAACTTAGAGAAGCTATATGGAAATGTTTTTATATATGTAGCATGTTCTGAGTACTAAGTGCAAAAGCCATCATATACAATCATAAATTATTTCCTAGAAAGCAAAACCAACAGAAAGAAAATAACAGTTAGACCTTAGAACAATTATAGAGCCAACATTCATACAACTATCCCCACTATAGATTTTTTTCATTTTTGCAGGTTAATAATAAAGAAGATACCACAGGAAATAGTTAAAAAAGGAAAATAAAAAAGCTTTCAGAGGAATTTGCAAGACATCATATTAATTAGAAGGTTACCTGAATATGAGGGCCCGGAATCCTCTGGAAGTAAGATTCTTGTGGTATTTGATCATGCTGCCAGCATCATGATCATATATAATTTTGTCTGTACACAGCTCCCAACTGCCGACGACACTTGCCTATTTGATCCTAAAGCATCATAAAATTACTGCATTTGAGACTTTGCAAGATGAAATCTTGTTGACACTTACCTCTTCAGCATGAATTGCCTTCCTGACCGATGCATCATTAAGCCATGAAGTTGCAACTTCATCATCCTACAGAGTTCATAGAAAGTTTTGAGCATTTAAGTCACAAGTATTACCAACTATCGGCCAAATATCAACACAACTAAAAAGGCAGAGACGGAAGTTTTGTTCACATTTGGTTCTTTTTTTTTTTTTTACTCTGTTGGGTCTAAATAGCAATGAACTGAAAAGCAGTACAGTGATGGGAAAAGTTACAGGCCATATGATCGAACAATTATTCATGCACAACATTATCATAGTTGTTCTTTGCTTAAAAAGACATGCTAATCCATATTTTCAAGAAAAAGCCCTTAAGATTGGACTTAAAAGTTTTGAGCTATCCTTTCAAAGCTTAAAGTAACTTGTGGTATCTTCCAACTAATGTCAGGATTATCTGACACGGTATACCAAATGCAATTCTGAAGCAATGAATAGGATCAAAATTGGTCTTAGTGAAATAAAACATAGAAAAAGTAATTAGTATTATGATAATCATTCATAGTATGATACAAATAAGAATTTTCAAACAGGCAAGTTTGGTTATTCTAACAAGTCAAATGTATAAACAGAATTACATCTCACGGTAGATTAGTCTTATGGTAATCCTCTTAACTAATGTCAAATGCATTGTCAACCAACATAAAGAAAAACAAATACAGATTCAGGGGAAAGAGGCAAATGCAGCGAGAGTCCATGTCGGGACTTACAGTGCATGGAACACTCTCAATATTGAGAAGCTGGGGCCATGTCGGGACAATTCCATCTCTTACAGGAGCTCTAAGAGGCCAGGCTCGGCCAAACATCCTTTTTCTCACAGCAAGAGGCCTATCAGTTTCACCTAACTTCCGGAATGTTGATGGTAACCTAATGTTAATATCTAGAACTTTTTTTGGATCTTTTTCATGATAGCACGGTTCCAAAATGTCATAAATATTTAAATCTTGTACATCCTGCAATTAATTAAAATTTCAAGAGCAACTGAATGAGATAAAAAGAGATTCCCGAAATAACCCTTAAATAATTGCAACTAACAGTTAAGCAAGTCATACCACCTTATCAACTTTTGCAAGTTGCCTCTCACAAGGTGCACTAAGTGGATTATAATAATTACCCTTGCAGGCAGCAGTAACTTCCTGCAGTATCAGAAAATAAAATTTCAAGAATAAAGACCCATGACCAGGTTTTGTGCTCAAATCCAACAACAATTTTGATTGTGCTAGCCTCCAAGAAGAAATAAGGAAAGATTCTTTTATGGGAAAATGAAAAGGAGAGAAGGTAAAAGCCCAGAATCCTACATTGAAAGCATTTAACTTACAGGAGGATCAGATGCAAGCATATTTTTCATCATAGAAAGTACTAAAATTACTTTCTTTCTTTTTTTTTTTTTTTTTCAGCAAGAAAGCACTAAAATTACTAACCAAGTAACTCCAAATGACTCCACCTTGAACCAAATTTTCAATAAGCATGAGGCAAGGAAATGGAAACTAGCATGGAGATATGAAGTATCATAAAAAAGTATCTTGAAAAGGGATTTCTCCTACCTCATATAGGTTGTCCGAGATCAGTCCCATCCCATGTGCAAATGGAACGAGAGCATTGCCGTCAAACTCCTCATCTGTAACCCCATTTCCAACTAAATATCCCTAAATAAGAGGACCTCATATCAGATTGCAGCCATAACGCACAAATTTAAAATTAATCCATAGACCCTATTCACATATTAGAATATACATGCCTTAAAATTGAGAATAGGCTTATCACCCACATCAATTCCTGTGAAAGATCAAAAGCTCCAATTTAGGTCTATCCAGTATCTGACTCTCCAGCAATAAAAAAAAATAAAAAATGAGTACCTTTCACTACTTCATAAGCAAGAGTAGGCACATATACTCCAGCATATGACTCTCCAGCAATATAAAATGGGTTTGAGAGGAACTCCGGGTATAGCTGAAACCACTGTTCTGCAAAGAAAATTATCAAGACATGGGCATATGCAGGAAAATAAAAACAAAAGTCAAGCAGCTAGTAAAACTTGTTATAATACTTTTCTTCAGTTTACCTTGAGGAGAAATGCATGTGAATCCGAGGCAGTCTTTATGTCACCTATACTGTAATCGCTTTTGTTCTTTGAATAAGAAAATCCAACCCCAACTGGAGAATCTAGATATAAAATGTTGGAAACCTGAAAATCAAGAAAAATATCATAAGCAGCATTTTTCTTATATTTCCAACTCATCAAATAGAATCAGACAACAATTCTAACCTTGGACCAGCTGTATGGATTGAGATGCAATTTGGGCAAACCTCCTTTTGTCTGTGCCGCTTCGAAATTAAAAGCTCCTGCAATGAACCATGACTGCGATTTTTATAACTTTCACAAAAAAATTATTAGAAAAATGCATCTAAAAAAGAACTAATGGCCATCTCACAAGAGAAAAGGATAGAAACCAAAACCACATCAGTACACAGGAAAACCAAAATGGAGCGATCAAAAGGAATATTTTCAATTTTAAAAAACACAATTGAATCAAACTTGTTGATTAAATAAAAAGACATTTCATACCATGCTCATACACAAAACCGTCAAAGCTGGAGCATCCAGGCCCGCCATTGAGCCACAGAACCACAGGATCCTTGGCTGGGTTCCCTTCCGAAACCACAAAATAGTAATAGAGATTCTTCCGATGAACTTCATCAATACTCACATACCTATAAAAAAAAAAAAAATCCGAACCAATAACTCCATGTCAGACACTCAGTAAACAATATTAATTCCAACAAATTCATGAATTATACTTAATCCCAACAAAAGAATAACACAGTCAACAAAGACAGACCCAGCATAGTGTTTTGAAGGAAAGGACCCATTAAACCCAGGAATCTGAGTAACCAAGGCACTCTCTGGAGCTGCTTGGCACAAGAACAGGAAGCCATAGAGTATGCAAGAAAAGAAAAGGCTGTAATAGATCAGACAAGGCTTAGCCATTGCCGGGATTGACTTGTCTAAAGAATCCTGTTACAGCCCTATATACACAAAAAACAAACGGGTCACTTTCAATGATTCCAAGTTTTCATCTTTTTAAGTTTCGCTTTTCTTGCAACTTGGTAAAAATGGAATTTCTTATGCTTTCAAGGCACGACAAAATGTCTGCAAAGTAATGGAAGAGAACATGATAGGGTTTGTGTGTTTTGAGTTATGAAGGAGAGAGATAGGGATGAAGATGAGTTACACGAAACAGTAAGGTGTGCGTGGTGTGGCTGGAATTGGAACTCCAGGAACAATCAGAATTGGACACGTGGACAACGAAACTGAAACGCTTCGTCAGTTATTTCAGTCCTTCAAATGTACGCGTTGAAAGTGGCAAAATCTCAAATCCACCTCGCAAATATTAGTTGGAAAATATTTATTTTTTTCTAAATATAAGAATAAATTATTTTTTAAAATTATAAATTAAGATAAATTATTTAATTTTTAATATTTTTTATTAAAAATATTGACTTAATAAACAAAATTTTGATATTTTTAATTACAAAATAAATAATTTATTTTAATTTATAATTTAAATCAATAACTTATCCCCCATATTTTTTTTAAAAATAAATCTATCTTGTCAATATATTTACCCGGTGGATTTGGGGTTTTGCCGTTGAGAGTGAAATGACTTGATTGGAGGCATGGTATTATTTATTTATGCTCCTTTGTCGGGTTAATTTTCCTTTCGATATCCAACGTTTTATTTTTCTTACGATTTTAACCCCAACTTGTTTTTCGGGACAACTAGAATTCCCTTGACGAAAAGTAAAAGGATTCAATTGTCCAGGGTCGAGGATAAAAACAAAGTTCTACCCTTAATCTATTGTGGTTCGGCCAATAGAAATAATATCTTTTTTTTAAAGATATTAGGTAGCTATTAAATATAAATATATAATATGAAGATATAGGTCTTAGTATCCTCTTGCTATGAATATATATAGGTTTATTTCACATATATATATATATGTTTACAACATAAATTATAAAATCATTAGATGATATCATGTGTCTTATGATTGAATTAGAGATTGGAATTAAGTCAGGTAAGATTTAATTTTGTTGTAATTTGGAGAATGATAGACCTTGCTAATAATTGTCACATGGTATGTCAAATTTGTGGTTCTTGGTAACTATGTCTTAATAATTTGTAATTATTTGATTTTAGTTAAGGTCATGGTTGAATTTTAAGGGAAGTTACTAGCTAAATTTAGCAAATAGGAGACATGGAAGGTTAATCTGTTGAGTTGTGGGTGGTTATAAGCCATCTTTTGCAGATTCATCAACTATAATTATGAAGCAACACATTCAATCAAGGCCTGCATCTCTCAACACAAAACAACACAACAAAATGCCTTAGTCAAGCACTCAAGCTCTCAATTAGGTTCTAGATTAGAAGATCAACTCTCAAGCTCTCGAGTTTTAGGTTTTAATTGTTTTATGTGGGCTTTGTCTTTGCCTTCATAAGTTGTCATCTACATCAATAGTTTTGCAAGTTCTTCAAAATTTTATCAATGTAATCAAGTTCTAGTTTTGTAAATAGATTTCATTATTGTTAATGCAATCTCATTACTTTATGTTGTAAAGCTTCATTTTATCTTCAAAATGATCAATTTATGTTTTTGCAAATTATTTAGTTAAAATGTATTAGTAGTTGCTTACTTAGATTTGCTTGTTGTACCAAAATATGTAGCTCATTTTAACCTAAATTTGCCTTCCAATTCTACAATCCAGTCTTGTTTTTTGCCAACCTTCTTTTTCTTTCTTGCTCTATTTAATTAACAAACTCCAGTGTGGCCCTAAATGTAGGAAGTCCTTGCATCTATTTAAGGCAAGTTTGTAACCCATTTTGCAGGATAGCAGCCCTCCTTCTTGCAACATCGTCTAATCTAATCTACGGCACATATAATTGACATTCTTCCAACCACCCCACACAAAAGTTGACCACTTGGAAGAAGAAGGTTGTCAAGGAAATCTATCTTTCTTACTCTGAGCAAAGCAAGTGGCACACCTACATTGTTTTGCCCTGCAGTAGCCAAGTGGAAAGGATTTTTAAGGAAACAATATATATGTATATATATGTATATAAGAGGATTACAAAAAATCAAGACGTTTTGGTAATTAAAATGTCAAGATTTCTTATGAAATTATTTAAATACTTTTAATAAATTAACACACAAGAAAGATTCATTAAAATTATTTAAATAATTTGACAAGGAGTACTGGCATTATTAAATGCCAAGATGCCTCAATTTTCACTTTTGTTTTTTTGGTTTCCCGCCCGGTATCCGGGGCTTCGCCCCGACTACTCCGAACTCGATCAGCTGTGGCACACCAGAATGGTGGGTGGGTCTCCCAACGAAGGCTGCTGCGTACACAAGGTTTCGAACTCGAGATCTTGCTTAAGCTGGAACAAGCTGCTTGCCACTTGATCCAACCCTTCGTTGGTTTTTCACTTTTGTTATATATATGAAATTAGTGTTTATCAATTGGACATAAAAAAAAAATGAAAACTCTTAAAGCTAGTCATTTTAATAAAGTACTATAAAAAAGACTAAAATAGTCTTATTTTTAGTTTAAAAATTAAGATGTTTTGGTTTTTTTTAATGAAAATTTATTAAAACAACATAATTTTGAGATATTTTTTACCAATGCAGCTTATAAACATTTTTTTATATAATATATATATGAGTTAGGATTCATTTTGACACATCATTTATATACAAAAATCTTGGTCATTCGTCTCTCTATCATAAATGATTGATATTTATTCACTTTTTTATCATATTTTTTAAATGATAATTGTCTTTTTATCTAAAAAATCATAATAAATCTCAACTATTTATAGTAAAAAGATGAATTGTTAAAATTTTGTGTAAGTAATGAGTGTAAAATTTATATGTAAATGAATCCTAACTATATATATAGATAGTTAGAATCCTTTTATACAAAAGACTTACACAAAAATCATAGTTATTCATTTATCACTACTAATTATTAAGATTTATTATAACTTTTTGGATAAAAAAATAATTAACGTTAAAAGAAATAAAATAAAAGATAAATAAATCTCAATCAATTATAGTAGAGAGATGAACAATTAGGATTTTATGTAAATGATATGTATAAGAGTTATGTGTAAATTTATATATATTAACTTACTGGAAAAAAGGTTTGGGTTAAGAATGATAAGAAATAAAGAGTTGGGGCAAAATCAATAACACTCTAAATTTTGTGGGCATAAAATGAGAATTATGGTTTTCTTCAAAGAAAACACCCCCCCCTTTTTTCTTTTAAATTTCTAGAAATAAAACTCTTTTATTTATAATATTGTTTCCTATAAGTCATACGGTATCTCCTTACCTATCTTAAGGGGTGAGTTCTTTCATTTTATTTAGCTAAATTATTTAAATTAATCCCTCTACTCAACTTCTGATTGAAGATCACCCCCATACTTTTTTTATTAGTGAATAATCCTCTAAACTTCTCAAATTAGATAAATTAGAAGGGTGTTTGGTAAAGTTTAAAAAGTAACTTACTTAAAAACAATTTCTTCTCTCATAAATTTAAGAATTTGTTGAAAGAAAATTTAAATATTAATTTTTAAAGTGACTTTTAAGTAAGTTTTGAAAAAGTTATATATCTAAAAATTTACTATTTAAGGTGTAATTGCATCGAACCACAAGTCATTCTTCAGTTCGCGTCTTCACTTCGGATGAACCTGCAAAGCCCCGAGGTGGGCCTCGGGGTAGACACTACGATGCTTAAGTCAGCAATAATTGGATCTACTTTTTTAGAATAATTAAAGAGGAGCTTTAGGTCGGTTTCAATTACCTTTCTGAGGTGGCCCCTAAGGGGTATTTATAGGCTTAGGTATTTATAGGCTTAGGTATTTATAGGCCTTAGTAAGGTGTCCATGTGGCTTGCTTAACAAGATAATTAGAGTGTGACGTGTCCTTTCAGGCGATAATTTTGGGATTGGGAAATCGTATATGGTAAATCCGGTGTGGGTATGTCCACTGTATTTATCATGCAGCCATTTGACTAGGAAGTGTTGGATTTAACTTCACCTCGGTTATTAAGGGCTTGCATCAGTACGTCTGAGGTTAGGGACCTTGGACATATCCTTACACTATTCTTCCCTCGAAGTCATTCACTTGTGAATGATATTGTGTAAGGTGATAGCAGTAGTGTAGAATCAGGTGAAAAGAGGAATGACAAAATATTATAGTTGAGTTACTAGAGTCATAGTTAAAAATGAAAATTGGTAACTCAAATATATGTATGTCTGTAACTAGAGTAAAAAATGTGGTACAGGGTTACCATGGCCAGAGCCAAACTAACATGTGTGACACGGGGTCACTATAGCTGGAGCTAAAACAGAATATGTGGCATGGGGTCACAATGGCCTGAGCCGAGGTAAGATATGTGATGCAGAGTCACTATGGTCGGAGCCAAAGTAACAGGTGTGATTGTAGTCATTGTGGCCGGAGGCAAGGTAACAAGTGATGATTGTAGTAGTCATTGTGGCCGGAGCCAAGGTAACAAGTAATGACCGTAGTCATTGTGGCCGAAGCCGAGGTGAAGCACTTGTAAAGTTAAAAAATTTTATTATGAAAGGAAACAAAAGTACTGAACTGGGCTTAGTGAGGCCTGTTAAAAAAATCTGACGTAGAGTTAATGCGTGGCATGACAACTGTCCGTCGAAAGACGTGCATAATAAATACGAGTTGTAAAAAAGTAACTGCTACAGTTAAGCAGACGAGATGGAAAACAAACCGTTGAATTCGAGAGATTTCCATTAGGGATTAATCGTTGAATTTGAAACGGTGTAACCGTGACTGTCAGATGAAATTAATCAGAGTCGTTGAGGTGTATATTTTCTTTGGTATATATAGCTATACTTTTGTAAAAAGAGTTTTACTTTCTCCGTAGTTGCTACCAAAGTGTTGCCAAAATTGCTACAGTGTTTGTGTGAGTGGCTAGTGTGACACATTTTCGAATTCAAAAGTCGTTCTGCACTATCGAAATCAAGTAACTTATGAACTTTTGTGATTCAAGTTCTAGTGGTGAATTTTATTCTCCTCTCACCCTTTCTGATTTAGATTTAAGCCATCTTAAAGAGGTTAGGGTTAGGAGTGAGAGTGATATTGAGCGTGAGTTAGAGTTTTTTGAAGATCCTGACTACATCCCTCCCCCTACTCCGTGTAGTGAAAGTTACGAGACTAAGGAGATGTCTTCTAAGGAAACATTGAGCATTGGGGGGAGCGAGGAAGTAAGGATGCTGGAGTATAGTGATGTAAGTGTTAAGGGTGAGTCATCTGGGTTTGAGCGTATAGAGGGAGGGGTAGGTAGAAATAAAGTGGTTGAGGTTGGGGCAAAAGAAGTGTCTGTCAATATATTGGAAGTGGGAGACGGGAGTGATAAGTTTTACGATAGTGGGGCAGACATTGTGTCTGAGGTAAAGGGGTATGAGTCTGAGTTCAAGAGTAGGGATAGCCTAAGTTATCTCATAGAGACCTACGAGATCTCTTTTAGAGTGTTAATTAGGCCTGCTAGAGTGAAAGAAAGGGCATGCTCTTCACCCCAGGATCACTGGATGCCAATGTATGCCCATTATTTGGCAACAGGGCTTAGGTTTCTTTTGCCTGATTTGTTGGTGTGGCTGTTGTTGGAGTATAGTGTAGGTTTGACCCAATTATCTCCCAATGCAATGAGAGTGATAATTGGGTTTATAGTATATTGCCGGGCTAGGGGGCTTAGGGTGCCCACAGTAAATATGTTTAAGCACTTCTTTGTACTGAAGGCTAGGAGTCGGAAGGAGAAAGGGTGGTACTACTTTACACCTCGGTCGTCCAACAAAGAGAAGAGAAATCTGTTTAGTGCAGGACCTTCCTCCGTTAAGGGGTGGAAGGAAAAAATTTTCTTTGTTGATGACACCAAGTGGAAGAGGGGAGATGGGGAAGTAGAGTTTTTGTCTTCCTAGAAGGCTAAAAAGGCCAACCAGAATAAGTATAGTTTAAATAGTAATGAGGAGGAAGAAGTAGAGAAGCTGGTGAGAAAGGAGGGTGACATAATAGACATTATGTTTCTCACCAGCTCTGATGTTATAGAAGCAGCTGAGCTTTATGGGCCGAGCTCAATGAGTGAAGGTGTGTTGGTATCTTGTGTGATGTGTGTAAGAGTTTAGTTATGATTTGTGGATTTTAACGGAATTGTTGTTGTGTAGTTGAAATGGACAAATTTCTTAGTGCTGCTGGTGAGGTGGCTATTCCCAAGAAGCCAAGGAAGAAGTCCAAGACTTTGGAGAAGGCTGTAAGTGGGAAAGGAGATGGTAACGCGGAGAAAGGGTAGATGTCTAGTACAGAAGCCTGAGCTGCAAAAGAGGTGGAGCTGAGGTCCAAAAGGAAGAGGGATGAAGTGGATCAAGCTCAGAAGAAAAAGAGGAGAGTGGAGGATGGGGTCAGGGGGGATGAGGTAGTGGAATTCGTACCTCGACCTACGCCTGTTAAGCTTGATTTGGACCTCAGAGAGACCGAGGTCCCTGCCTCTAGAAAGGGTAAAGCATTTGTTCCCACGCCTTTGCTCCAGAATAGCATTTTTGGGAACAAGAACTTCTCCACGACAAAGAATTTCATCAATGCCTATGTGCCTGAGGTGGATCGCTGTAAAGCGAGGGAGGAAGCCTTGGTACATGGAGGGACCTCAGTTGTGAGGCATGCTCTGGAGGTAAGTTTAGTGATTATAACTGTTGCATACTTTGTTTGTTGTTTTTTTTTTTTTTATTGATTTGTGCTGATGTGGCAGACTGCAACTTGGGTTAACGCGCTAGCCCAAGAATTCATGGAGCTGGTGAAGGAGCTCAACAGCCTGCAAAAGGAAAGGGATGAGCTATTGAAGAAGAACGGGGAAATGAAGAGGGAACTAGATATCGTGGTACCAGCAGTGACAAGCTTACAAGAGGAGAGAGATACACTGAAGACGATTCTCTCATTCGAAGAGAAGAAAAGGAGAATGTGCGAAGAAGAGAATGAAGCACAACAGGAGGAAATAAGAAAGATGAGAGAATCCGAGGTGGAACTCAAAAAGAATGTCCAACTACTGGTCCACAACGGGATGGAGGAGCATATCGGTAACTTTATCAACTCCATCTCGTTTGACAACATCGTCAATCTTTATTGGCTGCCGACTGCAATCCTCGCCTTCACTGATTGCAGAAAGAAGGTTAAAACTGAGTATCCCGAAGTGGATATTACCAAGATCACCTTCGGCGAACAAGAGGAAGAGGTGTAGGAGAACGACGAAAGCATGTCAGCAGATTTCCGACCTTAGGTGAAGCTAAGGTGGGATCATGATGAAGAAGGACGTGCCGTTTTTCCTCCTAACTTCGACTTCGAGTTCGTAGCAGTGGAGGAAGAGGAAGGAGAAGCAAAAAGGGCTGAAGTTGAGGAAAGTCAGCCATCTCCTCCCGTGGAGGTGCATCTAGTTCCCTTTGAAGAAGAGCAGCCACCTCTTCCAGCAGAGCAAGAGCCACCCCAACCACCTCCTTCAATGGAATAGTTTAGGGATTTTTTTTTATTTATGTATTTAGGATTTGAACAATGATTAGTGTATACATTTTTGATTAATTTAAAAAAAATTAAATTAGTTTGGTTATTTATTTTGTGCTTTTAATTATTTTGTATTAACATAAAGATTTAGATAAAGTAAATCACTTCGGGTATGAACTAAGAAGAAGTAAATAACTTCAGATATAAGCCGAGATGAAGAAATCACTTCAGATGTTAAGTGAAATTCATTAATAAAAGTGCAGTCTAAGGAATAGATTCCAAACAAATTGCCTTCAGATATACAGGACAACAGATGAAATGAATCTCAGAAATGAAGAGGTAATAATTATAAAGAAGAATAAGACAAAGATCACTTGAAAGAAATTTATTAAGGGTAAAATTTCTTCAAGTTATTGACATTTCAGACTCTAGGAATTCGCTTCCCTTTAGCGTCTTGGAGGATATAGGCACCAGGATGTGGCACTTCGGCCACTATGTAAGGGCCTTCCCAGTTCGGGGCCAGTTCGCCAAAATGAGTTTCAAACCCTATTAGGCCAGCCTTTCTGAGGACAAGGTTTCCTACTTTGAATATTTGAGGGCAGACTCGTTTGTTGTAGAAGTTGGCTAATTTCTACTTGTATACTAGAGTTCGAAATCGCGTCTCTTCTTTGACTTTGGCATGCAGATCAAGGTTTTCCCTAAGCAGTTGTCCATTTCATCCTTCATCGAAATGGGTGACCCGGAGGCTTGGAACTCCTATTTCAATAGGAATTATTGCTTTGGTACCAAAGGCTAGGTGGTAAGGTGTTTCACCTATTTCATCAAATTATAATCTTTAGAATATGCTTTACATATTATGCATATTTGACCTAGGATAAAACCGTAGGTGAGAAAATAAAAATAGAATGAAAGTATCTCAGGTTGGAAATAGTACATGTGGCTGTTCGGCTCGTAGTTCTATATGCCCAAAGGACGTTGTTAAGCTCGCCTGCCCACCTGGCCTTGTACTGCTCCAACCTCGGCTTTATCCCTTCTAAGATAGCTTTATTAACAGATTCTACCATACCATTGGACTCTGGATGATAAACCGAGGTGAACTGTAGTTTGATCTCGTAACTGGAGTAGAAATCTCGGAAGGAGGAACAGTTAAACTGAGTACCATTGTTAGCCACAATCTGGTTCGGCATCCCATATCTGCAGATAATCGAGCCAAAAACAAAGTCTTCAACCTTTTTGGAGGTAAGACTGGATAACGGTCGAGCTTCAACCCATTTTGTAAAATAATCAACTCCAACAATCATATGGGTTACACCTCCAACCCATTTCATGAATGGGCCTAAAAGATCAAGTCCCCACTGAGCAAATGGCCACGGTGCTACCAAGTTGGTGAGTTCTTCTGTTGGTTGGTGAGTCAAATGTGTGAAAAATTGGCACTTCGGGCATCTCTGAACAAAGTGAGTAGCATCTTTATACATATTCGGCTAGTAATATCCTTGCCTGAGGACTTTGTGAGCCAGGGTTCTAGCACCAATGTGGCTTCCACATACACCTTCATGCACCTCCCGAAGTGCGTACTAAGTTTCGTAAGGACTCAAGTATCGTAGAAGAGGGAGTGAGAAAGATCTCTTATAGAGAACCCCATCAATGAGTGTATATCGAGGCGCTTTCTTCCTCAACCTCATTGCCTCATGCTTATCTTCAGGCACTGACCAGTCTTGTAAAAAGGAGATAATTGGATCTGTCCAGCTCGGTGTATCTAGGTCTGTGCTGATTTCCATCATTCGTGGCTTCATGAAGCTTGGTTCATCTAAAACTTCCACAAAAACTGGTTTGGAGCTTAAAAAGCTATTAGAAGCAAACTTAGAAAGTAAATCTACCTGTTCATTCTCAATTCGAGGAATTTTGTTTAGACAAAATTTCTAGAATTTGTACTTCAGCTCGGCCACTAGGGCTACATACTTCATCATCACAGGATCAACAACTTCGCAGATTGAGTTTACTTGATTAACCACAAGCTGTGAGTCACTGTATACTTGTATCACCATGACTTTCAACTCCAATGCTAGTCGCAAATCAAGTAGCAGAGCTTCATATTCAGCCATGTTGTTTGTTGCATCGAAGTTAAATTTCAGAGCATGTTCACTTCGGTATCCATCTGGGCCAATTAGGAAAGCACCAGCTCTTGAACCCTTACTATTAGATGCTCCATCAACATATAAGGTCTAGTCGCTTGCCTTGGGGTTAGGGATTGAGTGACATGGGGTGCATTCCACAATGAAATCCGCTAGTGTTTGAGCTCGGATAGCAGACCTTTGTTGAAATGTTATCTTGAATTCTCTCAGTTCTACTGCCCACTTAATTAACCTTTCGGAGCACTTTGACCTCTAAAGGATCTGTCGAAAAGGTTGGCCTGTGAGGATTATGATCGGATGTGACTGGAAATATGGCCTCAGCTTTCTGGCCGAAGTGACAACTGCTAATGCTGCTTTCTCAGCAATAGGATGCCTTAGTTTTGCACTGTGCAACACGCTGTTGATATAATAGATTGGTTTTTGCTCTTTGGCTTCTTCTCTCACCAGAACTAAGCTAATTGCTTCATCTGAAATTTTGAGGTACAAATAGAGAATTTCTCCATCTATAGCCTTAATTAGTAGAGGTTATGAGCTAAGATAAGACTTCAGCTCATCGAATGTAGCTTGGCATTCTTGGTTCCATTCAAACTTCTTCTGTTTGCTAGATTCATCCTTCTAGACTACTGACCTCATGATCTTGAAGAATGGCGGGCACTTATCTGTTGACTTCGAAATGACTCTGTGAAGAGCTACCACCCTTCCAATTAATCTCTATATATCCTTCATCGACTTCGGTGGTTCCATCTCAGCTATTGCTTTGATTTTTTCCGGGTTAACCTCAATCCCCCTCCAAGAAACCATGAATCCTAGAAATTTCTTAGATTCTACGCCGAAGATGCACTTTTCTGGATTCAACCGCATTTTGTTCTTTTTGAGGTTATCGAATGTTTCATCAAGGTTAGCTAGGTGATCCTCTGCCTTTAAGCTCTTCGCCACGATGTCATCGACATAAACTTCCAAATTCCTACCGATCTAAGCTTGGAAGATAATAATCACCATTTTCTAGTAAGTGGCACCTGTGTTCTTTAAGCCAAATGGCATCATGACATAGCAATAAATTTCGTCACCAGCATAGAACGAGGTTTTCTCTTCATCCTCTGGAGCCATCGGCACCTGGTGGTAACCAAAATATGCATCCAAAATACTTAATCTCTCATTTCCAAAAGCCGCTTCAACCAGTTTGTCAATGATTGGCATCGGATAGCAGTCCTTGGGACAAGCTTGGTTGAGATTTGTGTAGTTGATGCACATTCGTCATTTACCATTTGCCTTTTTGACCAACACCGGGTTAGCCACCCATTCACAGTAGTTAACTCTTCTGACAAAATCAGCTTGTAGGAGTTTCTCAACTTCTTCCTTTATAACCTGAAGCCTTTCCCCCCCAAAGAGGCATCACTTCTGGGCTACTGGTTTCTTCAATGGATTAGTGCTAAGCTTGTGCTGAGAAACTGAGGTTGGAATTCCTGGCATTTCTGTTGAGGTCCAAGCGAAGACATCGTTGTTAGCTCGGAGGAAAGCTATTAACTCTTCTCTTTCCTTTGGGTTCAACCGAGTTTCAATTTGCGTTTTCCTGCTGTGATCTCTATCATCAATTTGCACTTCCTCTACATCCTCAATTGGGGTAGCTCTAGATTCATCCTCTGGTCGGTTGTCTACTATCTCAACCCCCATTACCTGCTGATTATCATGAACTGGTTGGGGAATGGTTTTTGGTGTCTAATCTTTGCCTTTCTGAGGCCTTGTAACCGAGGTAATATAACAATGTCTAGCCACCTCCTGGTTACCATGTAATGTTGTTATCCCCATGGGAGTTGGGAACTTCATGTAGAGGTGAGATTGAGATACCACAACTCGGATCTCGGTTAACATGGGTCGTCCAATAACAGCATTGAAAGAAGATGCCATTTTCACAACTAGAAATCGAACTGGAGGGTTAACATAAGTTCGGCCACTCCCGAAAGCAACATTGAGAGTAAGGACTCCTTCTACCTGAACAGGTTGGTTATTGAATCCATAGATGGGACCATCGTACCTCTGTAACAAAGCTGGATCCAGCCCAAGACTCTCAAAATAGTGAAAGTACATAATGTCTGGTGCACTCCCTGTGTCAATAAGGACATGTTGTACTTCACAGTTGTTAATCATAACGGAAGTGACCAGGGGATCATTATGAGGTGTGACAATTGTATCGAAATCAGTAGATGTGAAAGTGATTGGTTGATTTTTCCAGTCAGCGTCGTCAAACTTTCGTTTCTAGGCTCAGTTTTGATGCTTCACCTCCTTGACATACAATTTTCTCTATTTGGAGCTCAAACCCCCTGCTTCCAATCCTTTGATAATCATGTGTATAATTCTAGCCGGTGGCGAAAGCAAAATGGTGGGGCTTGTTGATGTCCCACTCCCTGTCTATTTCCTATGTTACGATATCCCTACTGTTGTGGCCCCTGTTCTCTAACAAACTTCAATTGCTCGGATCTTTGGATGTATTCATTCAGCATTCCCTTTTGAGCTAGACTTTCTAGCTCGGACCTCAGACTATTACATTACTCCATTGTATGACCATGATCTTGATGAAAATCACAATATCTAGTATGATCACGTGTAGTAGCGGAACTTCTCATTGGCCTTGGTCGCCTTAAGTCCATCTTATTCTTGATTTGCATGAATATCTGCGACCTCAGCAGATTGATAGGGGTCCATGTAACTGGTGCTTTACTAATATTTTGCTAGGGAGGTATTGAGTTCGGCTTTCCAAATTTCGGTGTGGAGGTCATCATCGGACCTCGGTTCTGTACTGTCTTCATCCGTTTTCTACTCTAACCCTCATCTCTCCAATCTGACTTTTGATTTCTGGGAAGAACTAGTCTCTGGGATAAAGCATATTCCTCAGCAGTTATGAATTTTAATGATATGTCATTAACTTCGTTAAAAGTAGCAGCAAAATGCTTGATTAAGCTATCTCTGAATCTTTCATGTTGGAGACCTTGAAACACAACTGTAATTCCAATAGTTTGGTTGAAGGAACTGACTTCGAGAACCGCATCATTGAACCTGCTCATGTAATTCTTTAAAGATTCTCCTTCCCTCTATTTGACTCGCATCAGTTTAGAAGTGGTTTTCCTGATCAACCTTCTACTGGAAAACTTTGTGGCAAAAGCAGATGCCATTTCTGTATAAGAGCTGATTGATCTCGAAGGCAAACTATAATACCAGGTTCGAGCATTTCCTCGAAGAGTGGAGGGAAAAACCTTACACATTAACGTGTCAAAGGCGTTCTGAATTTGCATACAGGAGTAGAAGGCATGAAGGTGGTCATTGGGATCCTTTATCCCATCATATGTCTCGAGCTAAGGAATTTTGAAGCCAGCGGGATAAGGTTCCAATGTGATGTTGGTGTTCAAAGGATGAGGTATGGAATCAGTGTTATGATGTGGAGGTGGGGCACCTTGCTGCTCGGCTACCAGTTTTTCTAAGCTATCCAGTCGTCATGTGACATCATCAGGTAGAGGGTGTGGAACTGGGGCTACACGAGACTGAACCTGAGACTCACTGAGAGCAGGAACATGTTGAACTGGTTGAGGATCTTGCTGTTGAATAGAGGGTTGTTGGGTAGGGTTGAGTAGATTGATGAGGGAATCGCCAGGATTATTCCGAGCTAGGAGCTGACCCAAAACTAACTGGAAGACACCAAATTGTTGTTGCATGGCAGCAAGCTGAGCTGTAACTACGTCTTAATTAGCAGTGGAAGCTGAGTTGTGAGCTGAGTTGTGAGGTTGGTTTTCATCTTCGCCTTCTGCTCGGTTAACAAAAGGGAATAGATTCGAGATCGGAGGTGGGAGGTGAAGTGGAAGGTTGTTGGGGGGTTGACTTTGACCTTGTCCAAGAGGTTAAGCCTAATTTCCAGCTCGGACAGATCGAGTGTTGACCATGATGAGAAAGCAACAAGAGAGCCTTTTGTTCAGATTCCCATAGACGGTGCCAATGTAATTGCACCAAACCACAAGTCCTTCTTCAGTCTGCGTCTTCACTTCGGATGAACCTATAAAGCCTCGAGGTGAGTCCTCGGGGTAGACACTCCGATGCTTAAGTCAGCAATAATCGGATCTACCTTTTTAGAATAATTAAATATGAGCTTTAGGTCGGTTTTAATTACCTTTCTAAGGTGGCCCCTCTGTGGTATTTATAGGCCTTAATAAGGTGTCCACGTGGCTTGTTTAATAAGATAATCGGAGTGTGACGTGTCCTTTCAGGCGATAATTACGGGACCGGGAAATTGTATATGGTAAATCCGGTGTGGGCATATCCACTATATTTATCATGCAGCCATTTGATCGGGAAGTGTTGGGTTTAACTTCACCTCGGTTATTAAGGGCTTGCATCAGTACGTCCGAGGTTAAGGACCTTGGACATATCCTTACATAAGGGTATAACTTCTTACATCATTTGTTAATTAAAATTATTATTTAAAATAGTAAAATTATAGAATAATAAAAATTGAAAGAAAAAATAAAAATAGAGAATAGGAGAGCCATCTTCATCGACCTCCAACTTCTAGACTTCATGTTAATTACCACCATGGAAAAAGCCGAAAATTTCCTGATTCAAGGTAAGTGTAGCTTGGTATTTTCCTTCCCTTTTACTAATAAAATACGACAGCTAAACAAATAAATTCCTTTATCTAAAATAGAAGATTTCTAGCAATATGAAACATTAGAAAACCAAAGATCATGTTATTTAAAAGCAACAAGAATGTAAGAATCTCGGGCAATATTCCCGTATAATAGTTAAAGCATGACATAGTGAAATAGCAATTTTCTTGAAAATCAAAACTAACAAGCAAGTAATAGCTATCTCCTCCTCTGATGTCTGACTCACCTACTGAGAACTTGAATCGTTTTCCGCAAGGTCCACCACTGAACTAAAGCCCAAGAAAAAACGAAAACCCAAAATGAAATTGAATGAAAAGAAACGAAGGCAAAGTCAAGCACGTGAATTTAGGGGGTCATTAGTCAATGGAAAAAAGTTGAGGTCATCTTCAACCGGAAGTTGAATAGAAGGGTTATTTGAATAATTTGCCTTTTATTTGCTTGTTTTGGGAAAACTTTTTTTTTTTTAATAGAAAACACAAATTTATTATTAAGAATAATTTTACACAATACCCTGTTTGAGTTTAACACGTAATTATATGCGAAAATAAATCAACTGAAAGGATTGTGATAGTCTGACGAGGGGCGTCTAATTTGTCAACTGTTCTTTTAATTTGATTAATGTGACTTTCATTCTTAAGCAACCCAAACAATCACATAGCTATTCTTGGAATAAAATTTTTTAAAAAAAGCCCAAATGAGGTGTATTTAATTATTAAAAACTTAAGGTTTTAAGTTGGACAACTTGAATTTGAATTTTAATATAGGTGAGGGAAGATTAAGAAAAGAAGAGTGTTTTACCATTTTGTATGCCAAATTACCTAATTTATCCGAAGAAAAAAAGTTATTCTTGAAAAATTACATATGGAAAGAATGATACATGTGACTTAAATATATAATGGATCAATATTACACCAATTATTAATTAAAAAAAGTGTTTTATACGTCATTTTCTTAAATTTTTTTAAATAACTTATCTAAAAATTCATCTTTGAATTGATATTTTAAAAATTAATTGTTAAATTAAAAATTTTAGTTACGTAGATCATATATGTTAATTTTGAATTAATCTAGTAATCTTAATCAATTTATTAATTACATAAAATTTTATATCATTAAATATATATTAGTAAATAAATAGATTTTATTTAATAAAAATATTGTAAATATTAAATTAATATATATAATTTATATAAATAAATTATTTTAAAAAATATTAATTAAAAAATAAAGATAACCTATTCCAAGCTAACTTTTATTAATTAATTTTAAATTAGATGGTTATCTTATTTTGAAACTGCAAAATTTCACAATATCCTAATAACTTGGATATTGTTTACCTGTATGACGACTCTCTCGAAGGATATAATACTAGGTCGATTCATACCAACCTTACACCTATTTTAATTGTGGCATTTTAATAGAATAATGATAAAAGAGAAAAATTTTATAAAATTAAAATTTGAGATTAATAACATAACATGAATTATGTCATTTAAATTATTAAAAAGTATATAAATATTATATTATTTAATTATTAATTTTTCTTCATTTTACTAAAACTCATAATATCATATATATCAATTTATTTAATGACATAATTTATGCAATATCAATGCTCTCAAATTTCAATTCCAAATTTTTTTCTTCTAGGTCACTACTCTTTTAATAATTCTCAATCTTACCCCTAAAAAGTGATTCAATAATTAAAAACTTAGAATTTCAAGTTAAAGTATTAATTTGAATTTTAAATTTGGGGAGAAAGGATTTAGAGAAATGATAAATAAGAGATTTATTTTCTTTTATATAAATTATCATTATTAAATGTAAAAAAAAAAAAAAACAATTCTCAATCTTAAGTAAATTTTCATTTTACGCCATAATTATTCCTTTCGTACAATATCTGAACAAAATAATAATAATAACATTGTTGCGATTTCGTGGACTCTATACAAACGGAAGGGAAGAACACTTCGACGAAAAACGTTGCCTTGTGAGACATCTCTATGACAGCTAATCTTTGAGATAAACAAGGCAATATCTTCTAAAACGAAGCGTTTAAAAATAAACGATTAACTATTATTCTGGAATGAAAATTCTAGAGAATAAAATAAAAATTGCTATAAAATATATTAAATTGCTACTATAATTTGTGAAACACATTAAAGTTAATTAAAATTAAAAATATGGTCAAAAAACTAAATAGTTTAATGGTTATCCCATTTCACTGGAAATAAGAGAATCTGAATTCAAATTGCATTACATGTAGGTAAGATAAAATAAAAAATAGAACATGATTATTTTTCATTGTGCAACCAAAATAAAATAAAAAATAAAAAATATGAGATATGATCATCTTCTAAATTTCTCATATCGTTTTGGATGATTGTTAAAGCTCTTATAATTTAGAATTGGCATCAAAAAGACGCTAGGATTAAATAGAGTAGCTATGTTGAGTTGAGACTTTAAATATAATACATTATTCGCCAATGATGAAATAATTGGAATAAAGAAGGCAAAAACCCTTCTTAAACCACCAAACTTACTCCAAAATAGCATTTAAACCCTTAAACTAAAAATGATATAAATAAACTCTCTAACTCTACTAACGATGCAAGTAAGTCCTTCTCATTTAGACCTGACAAACGAGTGGATTGAGTTAACTTGGGTGATGGGTTATGAACGGGTTGTGGGTTGGAAAAGTCTAATCATAACCCGAGCTTAAGGGTTATGGGTTAACCCACGGATTGTTCTTATTTTCATTTTTTATAATTTTTTTTATTAATTTTATTATATACAAATAAAATTATATATATCTAAATCTAATTAAAATATTGTAATTCATTAAAACTAAGTACTTTATAGTTTAAACCACAAACAATTAAATTAAAAAAAATCAAAAAGTTATAAATAATAATAAGTTGATTAACAATAACAATATTAAACGAAAAATATTTAAATTTCTTGGAAAATAAAGTTTTAATTTTATAATCATCTTAAAATATTATCAAGTAGTTGAAGCCATTTTTTTAATGATGAAATTGCTCTTCCAAGAACACCTTTCACTAAGTTATTATGTTTATGTCTTAGCATCACATCTTTAATATTTTTAGTTGCATTATCATTTCATTCATGATACTTGGGTAATTGTTAATAAAAAAAAAAAAAAAAATGATGCTTGGATAATTAGATCAAACTTATCCTAATTTCTCCGTTTTTCTCTAGAAATTAGGAAGTATGAATTAATGGAAGAAGTTAACAATAGGAAAATTAATTAAGAACAATAAGTATAATATTTAAAAATAATAATAATAAATCAAATAAACAGGTCAAACCTGTCAACTCGTGGGTTGACCCTAACCCAACTCGTAACCCGTACGGGTTGATAATACGAGTTATCTATGGGTTGCAGGTTGAGATATGTAAACCCTAACCCGTTTTTATGGGTCGGGTTAGGGTTGGGTTGACGGGTCGAGTGTATTTTTGCTAGGTCTATTCTCATTCATGGGTGTCATGCTTTCAATGTGATATTAAACATGAAATACCGTTTGGCCCATTTGTGAGAATAGCTTACTTGCATCATTAGTAGAGTTGGAAGGCTTAGCTGCTTTGTTTTTAGTTTGAGGGCTTAAATGCTATTTTGGGATAAGTTTGGGGGCTTAAGTAGGGTTTTTGCCAATAAAGAATGAAGCTTTGAGAGAAACGGCAATTAATGGGAACCAGAGGGGGAGGTAAGGGTGTGAGGGGCCTAGACCCCCCAAACCTTTTGAAAACTTAAAAGTTTGGTCCCCTAAATTTTATTTTATTATTTTTATCTTTAATAATTTTATTATTATTTTACTTATTTTCTAGTATTGAATATTTCTTTAAGTGATAATGAGAAAGATGAGTAAAATATAGATAATAAGAAAGATAAAAAAATATAGATTATTTGATGAAAAATTATTTAATTTTGTCTTTTCACAAAATTTTCACTAATAATCCTTTACTTTTCCTCTTTTTTAGTAGATTTCTTTTATTTATTATTATATATATTTATTTTGTCATTCAATTAATAACATTTATATCACTTCATCAACCACTATTAATCTATCGTTGACAAATAACAAATAGTTTTTATATTAATTTTTAAAAAAATTCTCTTTTACCAACTTTTC